CATCATTCTTCCTTTCACCCATTCTCCACATGCAGCTTTCAGGTGTCTAATTGTTTTTTAACGATCAAAAAAATTGCCTGCTTCTGCATTAAAATATACTATTGTCAGTGAAATAAAACGGTAGTTGTGAATGGTAGTTGTTCTTTAGGCCTTCACTCATTCAATAAATATTTTGCTTTCCATTTCAACATTGCTTATATTTAAAAAGTGAGCCTCAAAGCAACTTGCCCCAAATGGTAGATGCTGAGATTTTACTAGAGCCTGAAATTAGAACATTTGTCTCATGTGGTTTAGGGAAAAGAATTTATTTCCTGAAGTTCTCTGCTTCCATTCTCAAAATATATTTCTAGCCCTTATTTTTTTAAACAAGTGTGTGACATTGTATCAGTTTGCCTGCCCAAATGCTAAAGATTTCTGACAATCACAGCAAGGAGTTCCATTGCCATGAATAGCTCCTTGCTACATTTATATTATTATTATTATTATTTATTAAATTTATATACCGCCCTATCTCCCTTGCGGGACTCAGGGCGGTGAACAGGCAATACTAAAAACCACGAATAAATAAATAGTTTCTATTTTAAAATCGAATTGAATAATAGGCCTGTTCTAAAAACACACCCATACAAACCCCCCCCCCCCCACTGAAACACAATCCAAACTACGCCAGGCCGGCCGCACGGAATAGATGGGCCTTCAGGGCTCATAATAAGCAGGAACAGATTAATTATGCATAGTTTTTTGTCAGAGGGATTTAAAAAGCAGTTTTGACTCTGGAAAGAGTGCTGAAAAGAGCAGCAAAGATGACTGAGGCTGGAGACTAAGACATATGAAGGACAGTTGTAGGAATTGGGTATGTCTAGTCTAGTGAAAAGAAGGACCAGAGGAGCTATGATAGCAGTGTTCCAGTATTTGAGGGGCTGTCACAAAGATAGGGGGGCAAACTATTTTCCAAAGCACCAGAAGGCAAAACAAGAACCAACTGATGGAAATTAGTTAAGAGGAGAAGCAACCTAGAACTTAGAGGAGAAATTTCCTAATAGTGAGAACAATCAACCAGCAGAATGGCTTGCCTTCAGAAGTTGTGGGTGTCCCATCACTGAAGGCTTTCAAAAAGGGACTGGACAACCATTTATCTGAAATGGTATAGGGTCTCCTGTTCAAGTGGGGTATTGGACTACTAGAGGACCTCCAAGGTCCCTTCCAGCTCTATTATTCTATGTTCTCTATTCTAAGGAAAGGGTGTACTATGGCACCCAATAACCACCACAGAACCAGTTCATGATGACCTCCAAGATCCCTTCCAACTCTGTTATTCTGTGTTCAATGTTTTCATATTTTTATAGTTTTAATATGAAATGCACGATATCCTGCCTATAAAGTAAAATGTTTTCCCATACTGGTATCTTCCAGACTCCCAGATGCTGGATGGGAATTTTGGGTCCTGTAATCCCAATATATTTATAGAGTGTTAGGTTTGGAAAGGTTGCTAGAGATTCTCAGCAGTATGGTATAGGGTTTCCTGCCTGAGCAGGGGGTTGGACTAGATGACCTCCAAGGTCCCTTCCATCATCATCATCATCATCATCATTATTATCCAATCCCAAGTCTGTTTGGATGGATGGCTGGGAGGATGGAATGAAGGAAGGAAGGAAGGAAGGAAGGAAGGAAGGAAGGAAGGAAGGAAGGAAAACTGAGAATATCATCCAACAACTGTTCACATTGAGTCCCACTATCTATTTTCTATATTTTCTAATGCATATACACTGATTGAATATTAAAAATATTTGTTTCATGATTCTGCTGCCTAGAGGAAGTTAGCAAAATAGATTTGGCCAAAAAGTTAAAACAGTATCAAAGAAATCTGAAAAGCCCTAAGATTAAGTACAGGACTATTCAATTCTGATTACTTTTTATTAGCTATATAAACAATGTTTTTTAATACATAAAATTTATACCAATATTGTTCTGAATCAAATACTTAATATGTTTGCATTTTTCCTTAAGATTAGATATGCATTCAGTCACATACCAAAAGCTCCTAATTTTTTGCGCTTTTTTAGAGCTTTTGTTTTCATCTCAGGTTTATTTCTTTTTTGAATTATAATTTCACATTTTAATGTTTTGTTTCTTCAGTTTAAGTAAAAAGAAAAGAATATCCAACAAAGTTTTTGGAATGCCAAGAATAGCCAGCCATAAGCCATGCCCACAGCCTACTGGGGCCTCTCCTCCCAGACTTATGGTTATCCATATCACATTGTAATATATCTTGACATGTGGCAAGTTAATGTAAATGAAAAGTTTGCAAAAGCCCAGGGGTGGCCTGCAGCAGTAGGCATCACTGACATATTCCCTTAGTGACAAGAGAGAGACATTTCCTTTTTCTGAAGTAATGTTAGAGATTCCATGTTTTGTGTGCAGAATATTGGTGCCAGTAAATCCTCCATCACAGGTACCTTTCCAGTCTCGGAGCTAGTTCATATATTACTTTATTAAACCATAAGATTTTTTCCTGGAATTATTCATAAAGCAGGAAGTGGGAAGATACTGGGTCAAAGCTGGTCCAAGAAAAGTTCTCTGCATTAAGACAATAACAATCTCCATTTGCAATTCTATATTTAATATTTTGTTTCTCCCTGAAGGTGGCAGGCACTTTTAGCGAAAACTAGCAGACTGCCTCCCCTTAATTTGCAAGTATCTCTCAATTTACGGCCACTTGTTCAGTGACTGTTCAAACCTGCAGGAGCACTGAATAAGCAGGACTTATAACCAGTCCTTGGAGTTTTGGCCCTTTTAGCTTCCCTAGGGTCACATGAACACGATCCGGGCACTCAGTGCCTAGCGCATGATTATGTCACAGCATCCCACAGTCACATGATAGTCATTTGCAGCCTTCATGGCCAGCTTCTCAGAAGAAAAGTCAATAGACAAGCCAGCAGGTCACAAATGGCAAGCCATGTGACACTTAACAACCCGCAATGATTCATTGAACAACCAGGACTGTCAGAATTCCCAGAATTGCCAATGCTAAGTGATGCAGTCACGTGACATCATGCTTCATGAAAATTCCTGTCCCAACTGCTGTCATAAATTGAGGACTACCTATTCTGAACCGGCTCCCCAAACACAACAGACGCACCAATAAATCTCCAATGTTTCTTTTATTTATTTTACAAAATTTATATGCCGCCCTTCTCCCCATGGGACTCAGGGCGGCTCACAGCATGTTAAAAAACAATATACAAAATTACCCCTTCTAAAAACCAATTAAAATCCAAATATAAGTGGCTGTGACTATTTAAAATCATTAAAAATTTTCCCTATTTAAAATTCACCCTAGGTCAGGCCCGCTTGTTGAAAAAGCCATGTCTTGAGGGCGCGGCGGAAGGTTAGGAGATCCGGAATCGTCCGGATCTCGGGGGGTAGTTCGTTCCAGAGGGTGGGGGCACCCACAGAGAAGGCCCTCCCCCTGGGGGTCGCCA